GGCCAGCATTCACTGAACATCTGTAAATATGTCTTTCGATCTCACATGCCCAACATTGGAGCTTTAGGTGTCTGTATTATTTTATTTAATGAAATATAGATACAGATGCAGCTAATGTGTTTCGCACTGAAGGTTTAATGTGCAGATTTCATTGTTTCAGTGCTTTGGGCACTTCACCTCTAGATGGAGACAAAGGATAATTGTTCAACTTTTACCTCCAAGCCACTTGCTTGATTATTTTAGAGGGATATATTGTCAATTTTCACCATTTCTCTGTTCATTTATTACATTATGGTGTGCTTATATTCACCATTACACTTGTTATTGTGACAAGATGACTAAAAACAGAAAAACCCATGTGAATTAAAAGAAACCGCAGGAAACTGTCAATCCACATCATGCACACACAAATACAAATGCTAGCTTAATTTAATTTTTTAATGTAGGAAATTTTTTCATGTGAGAGAAAAGTGTCCAGTTGAAAGGTGTACAAGTAAGTTTAAATCAGCACGGTGAAAACTAAGGTTTCCCCTTTTTTGTCCCATGTAGAGAAGACTTCAACAACTACTTCTACTTCCTTTAAGGAAGAACAAGTCTAGAGACAAAACGACAACATGTGTTGTCTTCTGGGAGTTGTTCAGTTGCAGACGATGTGGGGTGGACAGGTGTCTTTAAAGAGCTCAGACAGGTGCTACTAATTTAGATTGAGTGGAGTAGAGGTGGACTTTTTCAAGGCACAGTAACAGGTCTTTGAGAGCCAGAATTCTTGCAGTTTCTCAGGTGTTCAAATACTTATGTTCAGCAGTGCAAGACAAATAAATTCTTTAAAAATCATACAATGTGATTTCCTGAATTTTTTTTTATTCTGTCTCTCAGAGTGGGAATGCACCTACAATGTGAATTTCAGACCCCTCCATGATTTCTAAGTGGGAGAACTTGCAAAATTGCAGGGTGTTCAAATACTTCTGTTCCTCAGTGTACATAAGTATAGTTCTTGTTTTGATCACATGATGTGCAAAACACACACACTTTCTGCTGGTGGGCTGTCGCTGCACCACTCGGTGGGTGGGTGGTCTGGACCTGGTGGAGCAGAGAGGGATTAACACCGGGCCTGCTTAAAGGAAAAGGGAGGAAGGAGAGGGAGAAAATGAGAGATGGAGAAACGCTACACATCTGTCCACCAGATGTGCTGTTAAGGATATGGAGGATGTTTAGAGAAGGGAATGAGAGGGCTTTTGGTCACAGTGACAGCTAGCTACACTGGAACATTTGGCCTCTGTCTCCTTTCTTTCTCTCACCCTATACTTTGTGTGTGTGTGTGTGTTTGTTTTAGAAAGGTGATGATGAGAAAGAAGTACACAGATTGAACTTAGAAAGGAACAAAAATAATTTTAATGGACAATAATTGATTCTTTTTGATATTAAACCTGATGCATAAAGTATGAAAAATAAAAACCTAAAAGTACATTTTCCACGTACAAATACCACAAACCTGTGACAGCCTGCTTACATATACAACATTTGTAAGTTTTTAAAATCTTTTTATAGTTTTTACCCTCTTTCACCCTTTATTTCTAATTCTTATTTTTATACTAATTTACTTTGTACTGAACCATTTTTGCACAGCCACAGAAGTACAGTAAAACGTGAAACTTCAATTTGTGGATGTTGATGTCTTGTGACAAAAAGAAAAAAAAGAAAATCAGCT